AAAAATTTCAGGTGTACATCATTGTACTTCTATTTCTGCATGGACTACATCATGTTCACCACCAATATACTAATTACAACCCATCACCACACAATAATCTTAAGAAGACAGGACTATAATGTAAGCAGATTTAATAAGGTGAAACAATTAATTATCTCATACTCTGAAGAAACAGTGACTGAACAGAAAAAGGAGAGTTGGCAAGGTAATCGGTAGCAGCTCTGTCCAGGGAAGATGCCTTAACTAAAAACAAAGTCAATACGAGGATTTTCTTGGCCAGGCTGCCTCTTGAGTAGATAACAGTACCCCCAGCAATCTTAGCTAAGAGAAACTTAAGATCATCTACCATCCCTTGTTTTCCCTCAGTTTCCTCATCTGTAAAATAGAAAAAATAACAATATCTATTTCATAGGTTCCTATAAGGATTCAATGAGACACTCCATGTAAAGCACTTAGAACATGTTGTGCCTGGCACACTGTAAGAACTCAATAAATGCTAGCTAATATTATTGTTTTAATTCCATGTCCTCAAGCAAACTTCTGATACCATGTCCCCCCTTGCAGCTTGCACTTAGAGAAAGAAAGCTCTGGTAGAAATGGTTAAGAGCATATGCACTAGAGTCAGCCAGACCTGGGTCTGAATCTTGTCTCTAACAATTAGAGTTGTTATACTGTAATGGAATCAGCATAGCCTAGGGCTGTGGAATCATTCAGCTCAGGTTGGAATGTCAACTCTAATACTGACTTGATGGAGAATTTTGGGCAAGATGCTTCATCCCTCTGAGCCTCAGTTTACTCCTGTTTAAAATGGAGAATAATAAATACCTCATATGTATTTATAAGAGTGACTGGAAAAGAGTAAGTGTACAATATATCCCAATAATTACCATATAAAGTACTTTATTGTGATAAAGTACTGTAAATCAGTACTTTCTCTTTCATTCCCTCCCTTCTCCTCCCCACCTCTCCATTTTTTTAGACATATCCACATAGCTATTTCTGTGATCTTGGTTAATGTGAGTCAACCACTGAGCGATGGATCCACTTTATCGTACCAAAAATATCAGCGTTTTCAGACTGTATGCCTCATGATTAGACCCTGAATCATGATGAATTCACCAAGGCTGTATTACCTTATGGGAGCCCATGTGAATGACCAGTTTTCCTTCTAGGCGTAATCGCTTTTACCTTACTGAACAACTTCTGGAAAAAGCTGAGACGCTTTGGAAAAATCCCAAAGTCATTGCTCTCTGGCTTTAGAGTGCATTACAAAATGCTTTGTGTGGGGGACTTACCATTCTAATTCCATTTGGGGCTCAAAATAACATTAAAGAAAATCTGTATTCTTTGAGAATACATTAGACAACGGGTTAACATGGATGCAATGAGGGCTAGCTGTATACAGGAGAGCTGATTTGGGATTGAGAACTAATGACAAAGGTGCCTTGCAGTGTGGTCTAGTCAGTGACCCTTGTGAGGATTACAGACTACATGTAAAATGTTTAGAAGAGGGCTTGGTAGAAAGTGGGCACTCAAGAAATGGTAGCTGCTATACTATGAGGAGCCCATCAGTCTGAGTCCAGAACAAGATTTTGGATCACTACAAGAAGAGCCCTTCATATTTGGGGGAAGAAGAGGGTGTCTAATGAAGACCAGTGGGAACTGTGATATAATTAAAGGTATAGATTAGAAAAAAGTTTAAGACCATTCTGAGCCATTAAGAATAAGCAGAATGACAATGCTTCTCTGCTCCCATATTCAGCAGAGGCAAAAATCCCATTTTCTAAGCATCTCTGGTAGCTCCTCAGAAGCTCAGGCATGCTGCTGCCAATCCTACTGTTAACTTCACTCTGGCCCCTTTATGGCTGCATGTAACACATACGATGCTATGGGTAGGTCTTTAGGACATAGTACCTAGTTTCTATCTTGTGGCCTCACTCAGGGAAAGGATGACACTGTAGCCCTGTGGGAACAGCCTGGGCAGGCTAACCCTCACTAGACCACTAGAGAGCAGGGGATTGAAATTAAATGCCGAGAAAAGCTATGAAAGCTCCCAGGTTTCCATGCCTGATCTGATCTCTTGCAATTTAGCTGAAAAGACAAGAGGTATCAAACAGAAGCTAGATAATATCAAAAAGGTGCTTACTTGTTTATTTCCTTTTTTATGTCCTTTGGATCCTCTACCAGTTTGTTCTTTTCCATGCCTTTAGAAATTGGAGGAAAAAGTGAGCATGAGAAACATATAAAGCCCATATCCCCATTTTTACTTAGTTAACTACTCACCTCCTCTAGGAAGTTTGACCCTCTTAAGTTAGATGCCCCTCCTCTCTGTTACCACTGTAAACCTCTATCTCTGTCATTTCTACATTATACTGAATTGTTCTGTGTCCCATGTCCTCCTCTAGGGCAAAAACTTTTTCATTGAGGCAGGGCATTTAGTATATGTTTGCTGAACTAAACTGAAAACTGGCTTTAAAAATGGAAAATTAGTTAATGCCTCTTACCTTAGAAGGATTCAATAGCTGGGCATTTTCCCAAGGGCACCTTGATTGACACTAGTTCATACCAATCTATTTGAATACATACCCCTTTCCTGGCCCACCGACAGAAACCACTTGCATGCCAAAGGAGCCTCGGCCCCTGGAGGATCTGCTGCCAGCCCACTGGCCCACAACCATTCCGGCAATCTCCAGTTTTCCTCCTTGGGGTGGGATTGGATGGAGACCTAAAAAGAGAGGAAGAATGGCAGTAATGTATGATAAGTGCAAGGTAGGATCAAGGGTGAAACAAAAGATCCTACAGCCCACCTACTCTGCTTATTTCCATTTCTCTATGATAAAAAGATTCCATGATAAAAACAAAGGGTCATGGTGGGAGCAACTTTAGGGAGACTGGTTTGAAGATCTGTATACATCTACTTTAGCAAGTGGGGTGTGGATGATTCATTTTTCAACTACAGAGCCTGACACATAGTAGGCATTCAATATTTGTTGAAAGAATGAATGTCTTAAAATTTAGTTAATAGAAAATTATAGGCCAAAACCACTTTTGATTCAAATACGTATCACTACACATTGGAGGATTAGCCAAACAACCAAACAAAACTGAAAATATCGAAACTATACTAGCAGTAATTTATAATTGAAAGGCAAGAATAGCAACAGTTGAAAACCAGAACCAATTCAAGACAGGATAGCATGATATCTCCTTAAAACAGGAAATTCCAACTCTGTGTGTATGAGCTTACAAGCACAATAGAGCTTTGTAATTTGGCACAAAAAGGAAGCCTTCATAAAATACAGAGTTCTAATAAATCTTTAATTTTAGTTTATGGAAAAAATCTAAATGTTAATAACCCCTCACTCACTTGGCAGGTTGTTAGTAAAGAGCACTTCGTTTATATAAAAGTGGAAGTCTAAGGAACTAGGGTGCTAGTTACTCCTAGGAAGGCAAGAAAGATTTGCATTTGGGCATCTTATTGTGGCCTTTAAAGAGGCAGGAGGCTCCTCATGAACCACCAATAACTGGAGACTAAGCATCACTGGGAGCTGGGGCAATGGTGAGGACCTCCCGAGGACTTGGACGTAATTAAGGCTATCTTCTGAGACACAATAAAATCAACATGGAAAGAATCAGAGCAGGGATCTGTAAAGTCACCTTCAAGGAATGGAATGAGTGGCTGGCTCCCTGGTTTGTAAGACTTGATCATTGCCTGACTGAACAGGCAGTTACCAGAGCAGACATTCACACTGCTCCTCTAAGCACAGCCTTGAGCTAAACAACCACACTGAATTTTGTGACTCTAAATTTACGACAAACTTCAACTTCCAGCTTTATTATTTTTAAAGTGACAAGCAATGAACAACAAACACCTTCAACCATAGCAATGATACCCTCACCTGATCGTAGAAGCTCGATATTTCATGTTAAAATGTCCCCATTAAAATATCCCATTTCACCAGGGGACAGGTTGTTCGAATTATCAGGATCAGTATCTGAGCTACCCAAGCATGACTGTCTATTTATCACTAAATTGTAGCTCAGGTGTCACCATAATTTATACATAAGTGTGTGTGTATATATATGTGTGTGTATGAATGTGTGTGTGTGTGTGTTTATTTGCTTTCCCCACTAAACTGCAATCCCCTGGAAGGCATGGACTGTGACTTATTTCTCTCCATGCTTTTGGAAATATGTCAGGTCTACCCCCAGAGTGGACATGAGTACATCAGGCTATGGTTGTCTGCTGACACTGGTCATTTACTCTGACCTCCCATTGCTCTTCCTGCAAGCTCCTGGGTACATCTGCCTCTGGGGAATGAGTGAGCTAACCAGCAACCATGAAGATCCAGTTCACATGAGTTATAGTTCTCAAAAATAATAAAGTGGCTCCTGGTTTCCACATCAGTTACTTCATGAGTTTGGTTGATGAAAGTCAAATCCTTAGGCACCAACCACCTCTATGGAGAGTGGTCTAGGGAGTCAATGGACTTTCTTCCCCAGGCTACACCCTTCCATCTCAATAAGCTGCTCTTCAAACTATCACAACACAGCACAGAAGGTAAAAAGGATAAGATATATGTGAAACTGCTGATTCCGTAACTGGCAATAATTACTGGATGAGTTATTATGAAATAGATTGAGGATGAAAAATACCTCATTCTTAGGTACTGACCTGCAAACCCTCGGCTCCTTCCTTGAAGAGGAGGTGGCATTGAGCCCATGGCTCGGGAATAAAGTGAAACAGGGTAGAGAGAGGGCACCATGGGAGGCACAAAAGTAGGTGACGGAAGTAGAGCAGAAGGCGGTGGATGGTTCATGTTGACTCCTTCAAGGATACTCTGTCTCATCTTTTCCACTTTGGTTGCCAGGTCAGCCTTCAAATGAAGAACAGAATAATAATAGCAGCTGCCATTTTTTAAATTTCTCCTATGTTTCAGGCACAGTATTGGGCACTCTAGGTAGAGTCTCACGAGTCTATTCCCATTAAGGGAATCGAGGCCTGGAATTAAATGGCTCAAGGCGACACAGTCACGAAAGCCTGTCTGACAGCAAAGCTCCCACTCTTTGCAGAACACCACAATACCATCATACTAGTTCTGACCGAGGGCTTGTAAGTCACATTAACTAGGTCAAGGAAGACAAATATAACAGTAAGTATTTACCTGTGGTCTATTACATGGCCAGCAACAGACTAGGCCATTTTTTAAGGGGGAGGTAACAGAATTAGGTAAAAGAGAGAAGAATAAAAACTTGACATATACAAAGCCTTTTAACCTTCTCCCCCATACCCAGGATTATCGACCCTGACCCCTGTCCAGGATTAAGTCCATGCCTCTAGTCCAGAGGGCGGCAAACTTGTTCTGAAAAGGGCCATATATTTTAGGCTGTGTAGGCCATGTGGTCTCTGTCACAACTATTCAACTCTGCCATAAACGAATGAATGTGGCTCTGTTCCAATTAAAACTTTATTGGAATAAAAATTCCAATTGTTGGAATTTTGGGGTAGTTTGCCAATCCCTGCTCTAGTCCCTCAGCTCATTCCCCCCAAACAGATAAAGGAGTAAGTAAGGGTTCCTTTCCCTTGCCTTCTCTCATCTTTCCCAAGGTTTCATTGCAAAAAATCCACTGCTTCTACTCTGTCATCTACTTTACTACCCTCTTCTATTTCCAAACATAGTTTCTATACAAAAAATGTCATCACTTACAAAAGTGACTTACAGTTTTTGTAAATAAGGGAAATGAAATTCTAAGAATTAGAGGAAAGGCATATAGTATATCTGATATTCATGGTGAAGAAATACCCAGAATAAGAAAAGGAATATGAAAACATGAAGCTCATAAAAAATTTTTTCTAACATATGATTTTATAAGATGTACGTATCAGACTCTGTGCCTTTGGGACTATTGTTGACCATATTAGGTTAAGGTCAGACACATTCTCCCACTTCTGCTACCTCCCTCCCAATGTCTGTGCTCCTTTCCCCTCCCTGCTCATTCATCCCCACAGCAGATCAGAGATGGCCCTTAGCAGCTGCCCAACATGCTGGTACCTGGCCATCACACAGCTCAACCAGGGATACTCGCTCTCGGCCTGCTTTAATTAGCTTGCTCTGGAACAGCTTGCCATCAAAGTAAATCCAGGGGCAGCAGTGCTCCCAAGGGACTGGCTGGCCACAGGCATCATTAGCAAACAGAGCTGTGTCAACTCCACTCATGAAGAGGGCAGCAAGCTGGATACCTCGGGCATCCAGTTTCTCAATCTGAAAACACCACAGAAGAAAAACTACTATTAAGAAACTATAAGAAACGATGAAATCCAGCCATTTGTGACAACATGGAAGGACATTGAGGGTATAATGCAAAGTGAAATAAGTCAGAGGGAGAAGGTCAAATA